TGCTCTATCACTCCTCGTGCACGCAGGCGCTTCTTGGGGGCCAGAAAGGGGCCTCGTTCCTCCTGTTGCGTTCCTCAGTTCAGCAGCCCTTCCGTAGTCTCTGCGCTTTCGGGTCGTCGTTGCTTTCGCTTCGGCCTCGGCTTCCTCTTCTCCCTCGTGCACTCGTCGTCCTCCAGGCTCTTCCGAAGCTGGAGAGAAGCGGTTGGGCGTTATGCGGTAACGAAAAAGTGCGGCCATGCTAGTGGACTTCTCGTTCCCGCACGGGCTTGGGGCAGCCACTGGTGGAGCATTGGGGAACGGGGCGCTCTGCGGTCCTCTTGGGGCTCTCTCGCTCTCTCTGGGCCTTTGGGTCTCTCGGTGGGCGTATCGGGGCTCTCTTGGGCCACCTTGGGGCTCTCTGTGGCAGTCTTGAGGTGCATTCTCTTGGGCCGTCCTGGGGCTCTCTCTCTTGGGCCGTCCTGGGGCCCGCCTTGGGGTCATCTTGTTTGGGACCGTCTTGGGGCCCTCTTGGGAGCCTCTTCTGTTGGGCCGTCTCGAGGCGATCGTGCCTCTCGGGCCGTCTTGGGCTCTCCGAGGCCCAGACAGGCGAGAATGCGAACCATGGAACCAACGGAGGAACCTCGGTGACCTTGGCCTCCCGGGTTCCTGATGATATGAGGATACCTTTGCGGACACACTCTGGGCGGTTTACGTGACGCGAGCCCGCAGCTTCCCGTCCCACAAGGCAGGGCGACACGCTAAGGAGAGAGGAAGCGACAGGACCGCGGAGGGGATACAGTCAGGGCTGCAACTAAACAGTCGGGCCAGGCCAAATCAAGGGTACACCCCTTGTGTCCTGAGTTTCGCGTGACCATGCCTTCTCACAAATCCACCTGGCAGTGTGGCCCTCGCAAAGGGTCGTTGCCCTCTCGCGTGTTCTCATTCTCTCAATCGAACCCACGACTGGTAGGGAGCCTCCAAGAGGCTTGGAGCCTCTTCTCAATCGGCTTCGTGAGTCGTGGCAGCATGAAGTCGATGCGGGTTGGCATGACCCGATGCAGCCTCGGATGGCTCTGGGCAGAGCCAGAGATCACCAGAACAATCTGGGTACGCCGTGGAAGATCCGGCGCGCGTCGTGGAACCGCAGGTAACGTTAAGCCGTCAGCGACGCAGGAGGAACGAGGGGGAGGGAGGACGATCATTGAAAACCCAACAGGTTTACACAGACTTGGGCCTCTCGCGTGGGCCCCGAATGCGACCCAAGACGATCCAAGAGACCCCCCAAGTGAGCGTTTTGGACCGTCTCTGGTTATGTTGGGGCCATCGTGACCGTCTAAGGTCTAAGGTGCATCTTGGAGGCCATCTTGGACCTTTTTGCGCCGACTTGGAGACAATGTTGGGCCCTCTTCGCCGTCTTGGAGGTGGGCATTGTGCAGATTCTGGTTGGTTCCCCGGTTTTACCCAGGTTTCCGCGTGGCCCCAGAGCCTCTCTCTGTTGTGCAATTCGGCGCCCTTTTCACCCCTCCGGCAGGCTAATGGGGCATGGCGGATATCGAAGACGCCTACGGCGAGTGACAGCCGCCCCGTGCCTGGTGGAAGCGCCTGTGTCGTGAATCGTGAAATGTCGAGCGGCGGGGAACGGCTACATGGGGGAACGCTGGGACAGGGCACTCTGGGGCCGTCTTGAGCAAATCTTGGGGCTGTCTGGGAGTTGTCTCTTGCCTTCTGGAATTTTTGTTGGGCCTTCTGGTGCCATTCATAGTTGGACTCTCTTGGGTTGTCTTAGGGTGATCTTGCCGTCTGTCGCCTTCAGAGGCCGTCTGGAGGCCCTCTCTGGGCCGTCTTGGGGCCCTCTTGGAGCCTTTTTGGGCTGTCTTGATGCTTTATTGGCCGTCTGAGGTCGTCTTGGGGCCCTGGGGGTCCTTTTGTGCTTTCTTTGGTTGGTCTTGGGGGCTTTGGCGCCGTTTCGGATGCTCTTCAGACCGAGAAGTTGAGAATTCGAAAACCATGGATAATCTTAGTAACATCATTGATTTCGCCTCTCGAGGCCCTCTTGCGTGACCTGGAGCCTTCTTGAGGCGTCTCGGGGGCGTCTTGGGGACCACTTGGGCCGTCTATGGGCCGTCTTGGGCCGTGAGGGCCATCTTGGGCCTTCTTGGAGGTATCTTGCGCCTTCTCTGGGCATCTCCGTCTTGGGGCCATCTTGGGCCGTGATGGGGCCATCTTGGGCCTTCTTGGAGGTATCTTGCGCCTTCTCTGGGCATCTTGGACCGATCAATGGCCATCTTCGAGACCCTCCAGGCCATTTGGGTTCAAGCTTGCTCCAGGCGATACACTTGCAGCACTGCCCCGCGTGCTTGGCACCGCTCTGCTAGGCAAGGTTGCACGATGTCCCTGACCTTTGTCGGTGCCGCCTCCCCCGCTTCGGCGGGCCTCCAGGTCAGCCAGCGCGCAGCCCCGACCACGCGCCGCCGGGCGCTGAGGGCCACTGCTGGCCAGAAAGGCAGCGGGACAACTGCTGGCAGCCTGGGCGCTGCCCCTCCCGGTGGGCGCGGCGGCCGCACTCGCGATCGCCGCGCGCCGGCGGCGCGCCGCGGCGCGGCCGCCGCCGAGGCGCCGCCGGCGCCGCCACGTTCGACCCAGCGAACCGCAGTTGGGCGCCATGGCCCCCTGGCTCTTCGACCCGGCCGCGGTTCAGCAAGGTGGGCGACGAGGCTCAGGGGAGGAACAGATGCGATACGGCCTAGCTCGTCCTGCAGCCCCGTGACCCGGCTGAGTCTCCTCGGATGTCTAGAGTCAGAGCGCAAGCCCTGGAAAGGTCGGCGGGGGGAGGGGGGCAGCTGAGGATATATGTTGTCCCCCAGAGGCCCGCTTACGCAACTGCGCCACGCGGAGCTCAAGCACGGGCGCGCGGCCAGGATAGGCGGCTTATGGGGTTCGTGGCGCAGCAGTACAGCCAGTGCCCCGCCTTCGAGTCGGTGCCTGCGGGCGTGGGCGCGGTGACGACGGCGCCGGGCACGTACGGCTTCGTGGCGCTGTTTCTGTTCGCTGGCGCCATGGAGCTCGCGGTGTGGACGCAGGACCCGAAGAAGGAGGTGGGCAACTTCGGCGACCCCCTGGGCCTGTCCAACATCTTCGGCTACGACGAGGACATGCGCCCACAAGGGAGCTTAACAACGGTCGATTCGCGATGTTCGACGGCCATCGGAATCCTCGTCTGCGGAGCTGTGACTGGCAAGGTGGGCCTGAGCCAGTTTGAACTGAGATCAGCGTAGCCAGGTGGTGGGGTTGCTGGTAAAGCCTCCACAACGACAGTCAGGGGCAACGGGAGAAGGGGGGATGCATTGACCCCAATCGCCCATTGATTGCTGATAGGGGTGTGACAGTCCCACCCCGCCCAGGAACGTACGAATTCGCTGTCGGGGGCCTATCGTGTATCTGTAGGCGATGTATCGCCGATTCCAGGTCGATGCTTCCCCCCTGTGCCAGTCCCCCCCCTACCGTTGCCCCTCAGAAAGGCCGTATTGCATCGCCTTGTTTTCTTTTCTCCGGCAATATCACCCCGGGCATTTTCGTCTGAGTGGCGAGCTTTCTCGCCCTGCGCCCTCGATGCCATCACTTAGGGATGGAGGTTGCGCAGCAGGGACACCTCTGCTTCAACGACTTCGGCGCAGGCAGAAGTGCTTCGAGAATTGCGGAGGATCAACACATGTTAGCCAGCGTGGACCCCAAACAATGATACCTTGCACCCTATGCCGTGCAATCTAGGTGGTGCAACCGATGTGGTACAACCGATGTGGTGCAGTATATGTGATGCAAAGCAAAGCGACGCAGAGCAACACCACGCAATGCAAAGCAACGCAAAGCAATGCAGAGCAATGTAGAGCATCGCAAAGCAATGCAGGTCAATGCAAAGCAATGCAAAGCAATGCAATGCAATGCAATACAAAGCAAAGCATTGCAACGCAATGGAAAGCAATGCGATTGCCATGCACAGCGGCGACGGGCGGCGACGGGCGGCCACGAGCTGGCCAGACCGCCAGTGTAGCTCACTCACCAGCGACGAGGAGACGCAGTCATGGATTCCAGGCGCGTGGACTAGCGGCGTGTTCGGTCGCCACATCTGGCGACACTGGCGCCGGTGCGTCGCCGATGCGGCGCGACCCTGCGACCCCATCTACTCGGACTCGATGTGGGAGGCGTTTCGGTCATGATCGCGCAGTCAACCGGCCGGATCTGGCGCCACCGCGCCAGATCCGCGGATCCCCTGGCCCACGGCCGTGGAGCCGCCAAGAGGAGCCGCAGCGGCCAGCACGCCAGTGCCCCTCCGCAGGCTACGGGGGCGGCGGGTCGAGGGCGCCTGCGGCAGACGTCACCGCCGCCCACTGCCCCCCTGTGGAAGCGCGGCGTGGCGGAAACGTCAGCCAACGTGCGGCCATGCTGCAGCCAAGACGCCGAAATATGAGGACCGTTTTGAGTTCGGAGGGGGTTCGCTGTTCCTTGAGCTCCGTCTCATGGCCGGTGCTCTATCACTCCTCGTGCACGCAGGCGCTTCTTAGATTCTTGGGGGCCAGAAAGGGGCCTCGTTCCTCCTGTTGCGTTCCTCAGTTCAGCAGCCCTTCCGTAGTCTCTGCGCTTTCGGGTCGTCGTTGCTTCCGCTTCGGCCTCGGCTTCCTCATCTCCCTCGTGCACTCGTCGTCCTCCAGGCTCTTCCGAAGCTGGAGAGAAGCGGTTGGGCTGCGTTATGCGGTAACGAAAAAGTGCGGCCATGCTAGTGGACTTCTCGTTCCCGCACGGGCTTGGGGCAGCCACTGGTGGAGCATTGGGGAACGGGGCGCTCTGCGGTCCTCTTGGGGCTCTCTCGCTCTCTCTGGGCCTTTGGGTCTCTCGGTGGGCGTATCGGGGCTCTCTTGGGCCACCTTGGGGCTCTCTGTGGCAGTCTTGAGGTGCATTCTCTTGGGCCGTCCTGGGGCTCTCTCTCTTGGGCCGTCCTGGGGCCCGCCTTGGGGTCATCTTGTTTGGGACCGTCTTGGGGCCCTCTTGGGAGCCTCTTCTGTTGGGCCGTCTCGAGGCGATCGTGCCTCTCGGGCCGTCTTGGGCTCTCCGAGGCCCAGACAGGCGAGAATGCGAACCATGGAACCAACGGAGGAACCTCGGTGACCTTGGCCTCCCGGGTTCCTGAGATAGAGGTCCTCTTGGACCCCTCTTGGGGCGGTTTGGGACGCCGCCCGCCCCCGACCCCAAGGCCAGGGCGAGGCGGGAGGAGGAGAGCGAAGGACGCGGAGGGGGATACAGTCGAGGGTGATTAACAGGTCGGCCAGGCCAAATCAAGGGTACCCTTGTGTCCTGAGTTTCGTGACCCATGCCTTCTACATTTCTATGGCAGTGTGGCCCTCGGAAGGGTCGTGTGCCCTCTCGCGTGTCCTCCCCAATCGACCTCGACTGTAGGGAGCCTCCAAGGGCTTGGCGGCTCTTCTCCAATCGGCTTGCGGGAATCCGGCCAGATGAGTCGATGCGGGTTGGCATGACCCGATGCAGCCTCGGATGGCTCTGGGCAGAGCCAGAGATCACCAGACCAATCTGGGTACGCCGTGGAAGATCCGGCGCGCGTCGTGGAACCGCAGGTAACGTTAAGCCGTCAGCGACGCAGGAGGGACGAGGGGGAGGGAGGACGATCATTGAAAACCCAAAGGTTTACACAGACATGGGCCTCTCGCGTGGGCCCCGAATGCGACCCAAGACGATCCAAGAGACCCCCCAAGTGAGCGTTTTGGACCGTCTCTGGTTATGTTGGGGCCATCGTGACCGTCTAAGGTCTAAGGTGCATCTTGGAGGCCATCTTGGACCTTTTTGCGCCGACTTGGAGACAATGTTGGGCCCTCTTCGCCGTCTTGGAGGTGGGCGTTGTGCAGATTCTGGTTGGTTCCCCGGTTTTACTCAGGTTTCCGCGTGGCCCCAGAGCCTCTCTCTGTTGTGCAATTCGGCGCCCTTTTCACCCCTCCGGCAGGCTCTAATGGGGCATGGCGGATATCGAAGACGCCTACGGCGAGTGACAGCCGCCCCGTGCATGGTGGAAGCGCCTGTGTCGTGAATCGTGAAATGTCGAGCGGCGGGGAACGGCTACATGGGGGAACGCTGGGACAGGGCACTCTGGGGCCGTCTTGAGCAAATCTTGGGGCTGTCTGGGAGTTGTCTCTTGCCTTCTGGAATTTTTTGGGGCCTTCTGGTGCCATTCATAGTTGGACTCTCTTGGGTTGTCTTAGGGTGATCTTGCCGTCTGTCGCCTTCAGAGGCCGTCTGGAGGCCCTCTCTGGGCCGTCTTGGGGCCCTCTTGGAGCCTTTTTGGGCTGTCTTGACGCTTTATTGGCCGTCTGAGGTCGTCTTGGGGCCCTGGGGGTCCTTTTGTGCTTTCTTTGGTTGGTCTTGGGGGCTTTGGCGCCGTTTCGGATGCTCTTCAGACCGAGAAGTTGAGAATTCGAAAACCATGGATAATCTTAGTAACATCATTGATTTCGCCTCTCGAGGCCCTCTTGCGTGACCTGGAGCCTTCTTGAGGCGTCTTGGGGGCGTCTTGGGGACCACTTGGGCCGTCTATGGGCCATCTTGGGCCGTGATGGGGCCATCTTGGGCCTTCTTGGAGGTATCTTGCGCCTTCTCTGGGCATCTTGGACCGATCAATGGCCATCTTCGAGACCCTCCAGGCCGTTTGGGTTTAAGCTTGCTCCAGGCGATACACTTGCAGCACTGCCCCGCGTGCTTGGCACCGCTCTGCTAGGCAAGGTTGCACGATGTCCCTGACCTTTGTCGGTGCCGCCTCCCCCGCTTCGGCGGGCCTCCAGGTCAGCCAGCGCGCGCCGACCACCGCGCCGCCGGCGCTGAGGGCCACTGCGGCGCAGAAAGGCGCGGCCAACGGCGGCAGCCTGGGCGCTGCCCTCCCGGTGGGCGCGGCGGCCGCACTCGCGATCGCCGCGCGCCGGCCGGCGCGCGCGGCGCGGCGCGCCGCCGAGGCGCCGCCGGCGCCGCCACCGTTCGACCCAGCGACGCAGCTGGGCGCCATGGCCCCCCTGGGCTTCTTCGACCCGGCCGGGTTCAGCAAGGTGGGCGACGAGGCTCAGGGGAGGAACAGATGCCGATACGGCTACTCGTCCTGCAGCCCCGTCACCACGGCTGGAGTCTCCTCGGATTTCTGGTCAGAGCTCAGCCCTGGAAAGGTCGGGGGAGCAGCGGTATCCGTATCTGTTGTCCCCCCCAGAGGAGGGCTTCCGCAACCTGCGCACCGCGGAGCTCAAGCACGGGCGCGTGGCCATGATGGCGGCTCTGGGGTTCGTGGCGCAGCAGTACATCCAGTTCCCGGGCTTCGAGTCGGTGCCTGCGGGCGTGGGCGCCGTGACGACGGCGCCGGGCACGTACGGTTTCGTGGCGCTGTTTCTGTTCTCTGGCGCCATGGAGCTCGCGGTGTGGACGCAGGACCCGAAGAAGGAGGTGGGCAACTTCGGCGACCCCCTGGGCCTGTCCAACATCTTCGGCTACGACGAGGACATGCGCCACAAGGAGCTTAACAACGGTCGCTTCGCAATGTTCGCGGCCATCGGCATCCTGTCTGCGGAGCTGTTGACTGGCAAGGTGGGCCTGAGCCAGTTCTGAACTGAGATCAGCCGAGCCGGTGGTGGGGTGCTGGTAAGCCTCCACAACGACAGTCAGGGGCAACGGGAGGGGGATGCATCGACCCCCAATCGCCCATTGATTGCTGATAGGGGTGTGACAGTCCCACCCCGCCCAGGAACGTACGTATTCGCTGTCGGGGGCCTATCGTGTATCTGTATGCGATGTATCGCCGATTCCAGGTCGATGCTTCCCTCCTGTGCCAGTCCCCCCCCTTCCGTTGCCCCTCAGAAAGGCAGTATTGCATCGCCTTGTTTTCTTTTCTCCGGCATTATCACCCCGGGAATTTTCGTCTGAGTGGCGAGTTTTCTCGCCCTGCGCCCTCGATGCCATCACTTAGGGATGGAGATTGCGCAGCAGGGACACCTCTGCTTCAACGACTTCGGCGCAGGCAGAAGTGCTTCGAGAATTGTGGAGGATCAACACATGTTAGCCAGCGTGGACCCCAAACAATGATACCTTGCACTCTATGCCGTGCAATCTAGGTGGGGCAACCGATGTGGTACAACCGATGTGGTGCCGTATACGCAATGCAAAGCAAAGCGACGCAGAGCAACACCCCGCAATGCAAAGCAACGCAAAGCAGCAATGCAGAGCAATGTAAAACATCGCAAAGCAATGCAAAGCAATGCAGTGCAATGCAATGCAATGCAAAGCATTGCATTGCAATGGAAAGCAATGCGATTGCCATGCACAGCGGCGACAGGCGGCGACGGGATGCAAAGCAATTCAATGCAATGCGATTGCAATGCGATTGCAATGCGATGGTGGCGGCGACGGGCGGCCACGAGCTGGCCAGACCGCCAGTGTAGCTCACTCAACAGCGGCAAGGAGACGCAGTCATGGATTCCAGGCGCGTGGACTAGCGGCGTGTTCCGTCGCCACATCTGGCGACACTGGCGCCGGTGCGTCGCCGATGCGACGCGACCCTGCGACCCCATCTACTCGGACTCGATGTGGGAGGCGTTTCTGTCATGATCGCGCAGTCAACCGGCCGGATCTGGCGCCACCGCGCCAGATCCGCGGATCCCCCGGCCCACGGCCGTGGAGCCGCCAAGAGGAGCCGTAGCGGCCAGCACGCCAGTGCCCCTCCGCAGGCCACGGGGGCGGCGGGTCGAGGGCGCCTGCGGCAAACGTCACCGCCGCCCACTGCCCCCCCTGTGGAAGCGCGGCGTGGCGGAAACGTCGAGCCACCGTGCGGCCATGCTGCAGCCAAGGCGCGGAAATATGAGGACCGTTTTGGGTTCGGAGGGGGTTCGCTGTTCCTCGAGCTCTGTCTCATGGCCGGTGCTCTATCACTCCTCGTGCACGCAGGCGCTTCTTGGGGGCCAGAAAAGGGCCTCGTTCCTCCTTTTGCGTTCCTCAGTTCAACAGCCCTTCTGTAGTTTCTGCGCTTTCGGGTCGTCGTTGCTTCCGCTTCGGCCTCGGCTTCCTCTTCTCCCTCGTGCACTCGTCGTCCTCCAGGCTCTTCCGAAGCTGGAGAGAAGCGGTTGGGCTGCGTTATGCGGTAACGAAAAAGTGCGGCCATGCTAGTGGACTGCTCGTTCCCGCACGCGCTTGGGGCAGCCACTGGTGGAGCATTGGGGAACGGGGCGCTCTGCGGTCCTCTTAGGGCTCTCTCTCTCTCTCTGGGCCTTTGGGTCTCTCGGTGGGCGTATCGGGGCTCTCTCTTGGGCCACCTCGGGGCTCTCTGTTGCAGTCTTGAGGTGCATTCTCTTGGGCCGTCCTGGGGCTCTCTCTCTCTTGGGCCGTCCTGGGGCCCGTCTTGGGGTTATCTTGCTCGGGAACGTCTTGGGGCCCTCTTGGGAGCCTCTTCTGTTGGGCCGTCTCGAGGCGATCGTGCCTCTCGGGCCGTCTTGCGCTCTCCGAGGCCCAGATAGGCGAGAATGCGAACCATGGAACCAACGGAGGAACCTCGGTGACCTTGGCCTCCCGGGTTCCTGATGTAGAGGTACTCTTGGACCCCTCTTGGGGCGGTTTGGGACGCCGCCCGCCCCCGACCCCAAGGCCAGGGCGAGGCGGGAGGAGGAGAGCGAAGGACGCGGAGGGGGATACAGTCGAGGGTGATTAACAGGTCGGCCCGGCCAAATCAAGGGTACCCTTGTGTCCTGAGTTTCGTGACCCATGCCTTCTACATTCCTATGGCAGTGTGGCCCTCGGAAGGGTCGTGTGCCCTCTCGCGTGTCCTCTCCAATCGACCTCGACTGTAGGGAGCCTCCAAGGGCTTGGCGGCTCTTCTCCAATCGGCTTGCGGGAATCGTGCCAGATGAATCGATGCGGGTTGGCATGACCCGATGCAGCCTCGGATGGTTCTGGGCAGAGCCAGAGATCACCAGAACAATCTGGGTACGCCGTGGAAGATCCGGCGCGCGTCGTGGAACCGCAGGTAACGTCAAGCCGTCAGCGACGCAGGAGGGACGAGGGGGAGGGAGGACGATCATTGAAAACCCAACGGGTTTACACAGACTTGGGCCTCTCGCTTGGGCCCCGAATGCGACCCAAGACGATCCAAGAGACCCCCCAAGTGAGCGTTTTGGACCGTCTCGGGTTATGTTGGGGCCATCGTGACCGTCTACGGTGCATCTTGGAGGCCATCTTTGACCTTTTTGCGCCGACTTGGAGACAATGTTGGGCTCTCTTCGCCGTTTTGGAGGTGGGCGTTGTGCAGATTCTGGTTGGTTCCCCGGTTTTACCCAGGTTTCCGCGTGGCCCCAGAGCCTCTCTCTGCTGTGCAATTCGGCGCCCCTTTCACCCCTCCGGCAGGCTAATGGGGCATGGCTGATATCGAAGACGCCTACGGCGAGTGACAGCCGCCCCGTGCCTGGTGGAAGCGCCTGTGTCGTGAATCGTGAAATGTCGAGCGGCGGGGAACGGCTACATAGGGGAACGCTGGGACAGGGCACTCTGGGGCCGTCTTGAGCAAATCTTGGGGCTGTCTGGGAGTTGTCTCTTGCCTTCTGGAATTTTTGTTGGGCCTTCTGGTGCCATTCATAGTTGGACTCTCTTGGGTTGTCTTAGGGTGATCTTGCCGTCTGTCGCCTTCTGGGCCGTCTTGGGGCCCTCTTGAGGCCTTTTTGGGCTGTCTTGATGCTAGACTGGCCGTCTGAGGTCGTCTTGGGGCCCTGGGGGTCCTTTGGTTGGTCTTGGGGGCTTTGGCGCCGTTTCGGATGCTCTTCAGTCCCAGAAGGCGAGAATTCGAAAACCATGGGAAAATCTTAGTAACATCATTGATTTCGCCTCTCGAGACCCTCTTGCGTGACCTGGAGCCTTCTTGAGGCGTCTTGGGGGCGTCTTGGGGACCACTTGGGCCGTCTTGGGGCCATCTTGGGCCGTGATGGGGCCATCTTGGGCCTTCTTGGAGGTATCTTGCGCCTTCTCTGGGCATCTTGGACCGATCAATGGCCATCTTCGAGACCCTCCAGGCCGTTTTGGTTCAAGCTTGCTCCAGGCGATACTCTCGCAGCACTGCCCCGCGTGCTTGGCACCGCTCTGCTAGGCAAGGTTGCACGATGTCCCTGACCTTTGTCGGTGCCGCCTCCCCCGCTTCGGCGGGCCTCCAGGTCAGCCAGCGCGAGCCGACCACCACGCCGCCGGCGCTGAGGGCCACCGCGGCGCAGAAAGGCGCGGCCAACGGCGGCAGCCTGGGCGCTGCCCTCCCGGTGGGCGCGGCGGCCGCACTCGCGATCGCCGCGCGCCGGCCGGCGCGCGCGGCGCGGC